ACAGCTGGCTCCAACTGACCAAAGGTGTCACACTTACCATATAAATCTAGGGGAAGAAGGAACCTGATTATAAAATTGGACAGATCACATAACTGAAAAATATGCAAATAAAAAACTTGTGATGATGTTCAAACAACAGAGGTATATGAGAAAGAGGTATCAGGAGTCCCATATACTTTAAAACTGGTTATTTGGATATAGCTTACTTTGGTCACTGAGGGTCTTATGATTTGCATTAATCTCTAGCTTAAAGAGCACTGTGTATAAACAATTATGTTAGTAGGACAGAAACTCTACGCTATTCCTAACTGTTATGCAAATTTTAATTTCTGGTATGTATTTTTGAGTTAGCATCCAGAAAACACAATTTTGTTTTTGAAACTTGACACAGAGACAACAGAAGAAGAACAAACAAAAGCACAGAACTTGCCAAACTTTATTTGTAGCCAGCTTCTTGTTCCTTATGTATCTGAATTAGCTTCTTCCTCCCTTTTAATTCCATTTCACTTCTCTGTCCCTTCTAAAGAAGAATGAAATTGTTCTGGGATATGCTTTCTTTTCAGAAAGTCAAAAGTCAGAGGGAAATAAATGCTTCCTCATTATATCTGCAAAAGCTAATTTAAATTTTGGGTTAGGCTATTACAGCTTTCCATGAAGCTACAGTTTCAGTTGGGATTTGCTTTTCACTTCACCTGAAAACAAGTGTGGTTTACAAAACAGGCTTCTTTCACATTTGGAGGGAAAAAAAAATGAACGTCTTCAAAGAGCAGCAGCTACCAGCTGAGAGAATTGTAGAATAATGAGGTTGGAAGTGACCACTGGCTGCCTCCAGTCCAACCTAACTTCTTCTCAAAGTGACATCAATATGAAACCACACCATGTTGCTCATGACTTTATCACGTTAGGCACTGGAAATCTCCAAGGATGGAGATGGTAAAAACCTCTCTGGCAACCTGTTCCAATGATGGACAGCCTCCATGGAAAAAGTTTTCCCGTGTAACCTGTCTGAAATGCTCTTGTTTCAATTCAAGTCAGTTGTTTCTCACCCTGTTGTCATGGAGCACTGTGAAGAGGTTGCCTTTCTTGACAACCTCTGCCCAGACTGTTAGGCTGCCATTAGGTCTCCCTGGAGCCAACAAAGAAAGGAATATTTTTTCTTTCCCAGGCTGTACAAGAGCAGTACCCTTGGTCTCTCTTTACATTGCAAATGCTATGGCTTCCTGGCTGTACCAGTTGCCCTCTGTCAAACTTTCTCCAATTTATAGATGTCTTACTTTTACTGGGGACCTTAAACTGGATGCAATATTCTAGATACCAAGAATCTTTCCTCTGGAGAAAATAGAAGGGGATTTTATTTTTTTCCCCTGAAGGTCTCCACTTTTCTCCCTCCTTTAGGCATGTCTGTGTGTACTTACTTCACACATACAGATATTCTGGACCTAAGTATCTCTCCCCTGATTTTGTATGATCAAATGATACTTTGCTTTTCCTGGATTATGCTAATGTTAGTGAAAGTCAGATTGGTAAAAAAATGCACATTTTAATGGTATTGTTTACACATGTATGCATACAAAATAGTTAATATACACACACAGTCATTACTTTTGTGACCAAATCCTTGAAATGTTATTGTGTGTTAAGGCACAAGTACAAGTGATATAGGTATCACTTGTACGCATTAATGGGAACCTCTAGGTTATTTTGTTTGCTTTGTTGTTGTTGAGGTTTTTTTTTTGTTTTTTTTTTGTTTTTTTTTTCTGTTTTGTTTATTTGTTTTTGTTTTCTTAAAATTGCTTCTTCTAAGTTAAAGGATGATGTAGTGTCCTGGTTCTGGCTAGCACAGGGTAATTTTCTGCAGTAGGCAGGAGGGAGCATGGCTGTGACCCAGAGGATATTCTACACCACCTCATGACATTTTCCAGTTGGAGGGAGAAGGGAGTCTTTTCTGGAGACAAGGGGCTCCTTCCCATTGGGATAGCATGGCTGTGGTTGGGTTGGGGTGAGAATTGTGCATGTGAATTACTCTCTCTTTTGTATGCTTTTGTTATTAATATTGTAGCTGTTACTGTTTATTTTGTTGTCTCATTGCTGTTTCCAGTAAATTATTCTTATCTCAACTCCTGAGCTTCACCTTATGTGCCTCCAGTTCTCTTTTCCATCCTGTTGCAGGGGAAGAAGCTGGAGGGAGAAGGGGGCAATGAGCGAGTGGCATGTAGTTTGGAGAATCCCTCATTAAATTGGGGAGTACCATTGCTAAACCAAGACTCATAGAAATCTCAGTTAAAAAAAAAAAAAACGGAGAAAAAGAATAAAGTAGGAGAAATGCTTTTTGTAAGGCCAGGGAAGACCTAAGAGCAAAAGGAGAAGTCACCAGATGAGCCAAAATTCTCAAGCCCTTGTCATGCTGGGGCTTAAGACAGAAAGTGTAAGAATCTGGTGAAGACCTTAAAGAACAGTAGGTGAAGGGAATGTGCACCTGGCATTGCCACATTGCAGTTTTACAGTTCTCATGAAGATTGGAGCATATGTGGAAGCCTATATTTTGCTCACTGGGGAATTACAAAGTCCAAAAAAGAGCAGTAACTCTTGGGAATGCAGTTTTGAACAGCAAATCATAGAGCTAACTCACTTGGATCAAAGCAGCAAACTTCCACCCCAGTTCAAAACAGACTGTCTAAAAACACTCCCAGTGCTTATTCTAGACTACCATAGTATGGCAAGCACCATGAGGAAATAAGAAGACCCAGCAGACATCCATACATGCGTCCCTTCCACATATAAATCAGAGTGCAAATTTTCATTCATTTGGGATGGCTTGGGAAATGCATTGTCTACCTTGTTATTCATAATTACTGTGGCCATCCCACCCTTGGCCTGGTACAGTTCCCAAGCTTTATGCACATGTGACATTCTTTTCTGTCTCCCTTGGCATGTGTTTAAAGTACTGTCACACTATTGGATGACAAGGGCTGCAGATGTCCATGTAAATTAAAGGAAACTGTAACCAAAATGTCAAGAAGTTCATAAGAATCCTCATAATGGTGCAATTAATTTCTAATCATGTCAAAAGACAGGCCTGAGAAATTAAATGTTGCTGCTTATGCACTTATAGGAGTCCTTGTTGCCTTTTACAACCCTTTCAAGTTCGGCTCCAGATGGCCTCTGGCTTTTCAAGTCATGTCTTTGTATGCTTAAGACAGTGTTTCCATACAGAGAGGTTCTGATTCATAACCTGAATGTCTTAAGTATGGAATACTTAAGGCATTCAAAACCCCTCTGGACCTGGGCAACCAGGTCTCAGTGGTCCTGCTCGAGCAGAGCTGGACAAGACAGCCTCCAGAGTTCCCTGCCAACCTCAATCAGTCACTCTGTGGGTCCACTTCGGAACACATCAGCCTCTAGAACAGTGAGGTAGGTAGGAGATAAAATCTTCTACTTTAGATGTTATAACTTGTATAAATCAGTAGCAATACAAAAGTTCTTGCCCCAGGGGATAATCAGGTGAGCGCTCCCACACCTTCTGGATAGATTTTGTAAATGCTGTCAACCAACTTACAGTGACATTTTGACTGTTCAAATTAACATGGTACATCCTACTGCTGATTCCCGCAAATCATTATTGTTAATATTTCTGGGATTTAAAGCATTTACAAAGTAAATGGCTGTTGCTGCCTACTATACTTGTTAAACATTGTATGTTACTGCAAATTCGATAGGCTATGCCAAAAATGTAAGTTAAAAATCAGTGAAAAGTCTCCTACAATGTGTCAGATCAACACAAGCAAATTCTTAATTTCTAAAATATCAGTAAAAAATTGCACTTCAGTTTTTAAATTATTAAAAAAAACCCCATTTAAATGAGTAATAAGGGCACCATAATAAATTCTTTCTAGCTTGGTAAATCATACCATAATTTATGCACACACTAAATGCTGACCAAATTCATTAAATGCAATAATCACAAATTGCTTGGGGTTTCTATTCACTATTAACAGGCTTTAAATAAATGCCTATGAGATTTAGGAACAAAAGTTGTTTTTGAAACTTCCCTCCAAGGTTTTAATAAACTTAATGAGAAGGGAAAACTTGAAAAACCTCTAGAAACCTGAGTATTTTTGACTTTCAAATGCTGAAACACTGAAAACATACACAGTTCTGCTACTGCAAATGCTTTTTAGACATAAATAACTAGTCCTCTTTATTTCCAGTGAGTATAGTATTCACACTAGATTTATTATTTACCTCTGTAGCCCACATTCCTCATCACAGACATTCAGCCTTCAGATTCACAATTTTCAGCTGTGTTGATGCCAATTCTCCTGCCTTTAACCTGCTGGCAGCTCTGTATCTCCTCTCACACAGGAGGTCAGGATGAAATGAGAGCTGTAACCCAACATCACTCTGTAAAACAACCTAACTCCTTCACTAGACCACACAGAGCTTTTCCTTAGGGACTAAAACCCACTGATCCATGCAGATGTTCAGTGCAGCCCACCTAAATTAATGAGAATGGGTATTTCTCTCATTCTCCATACTGCCACAGAACATAAGGAATTAAAAGGCACATATATTGGGGTTGAAGAAGAAACGGGTATTTTAGAATTACAAATGTATTATTCTAAAATTTATATTGACTAAGTTACGTATGTGCAAACAATCAGGGAAGAAACAAGCATTTAAGTAATCTGGTTCTTTTGTCCATGTGTTTTTAAGTGATCACATTGCCATAGCAAAGCTTTTTAGTGTAAAAATCAGCCATCACAAACTTTTCACTTCCCTTAGAAGAAACTAATACAAAATTCAGGCTATAAGAAGGGGACTCCTGTTTCAAAGAGATGGTTGGTGAGCAGTAGAGCAGAAATGCAGGCTTTGATTCATTGATGTATTCACATTTTTCCAACAAATACCTATTTGATAAGGCCATTTCCTCACTCAGTCAGACATCATACAGAAAATTTCCCCTATGAGTCACTCATTCATATTAGAATCAATCATTTTACCTGTAATAAACACGCAATGTTTGGACTTCTTCCTCTAGTTTTTTGCACTGTTGAAGAGCAGCTTCCTTTACTTGTTGCAAAGCTATCAGTTCTGCCTGTGAAAATGATAAACAACTGATAACTAATTTATTCAGAACATCCATACTTTTCTGAAAACACATCAATCTGTGCAATAATTTCAACCATTATAACTGCACACATAGAGTTATACTGTTGTATGTAACATAGTGTTCTGGTTTAACCCCAGCCAGGAACTAAGTACCAGGTAGCTGCTTGGTCACTTCTTTCTCCTTCTTCTCACTGATGGCATGGTGAGGAGAATCAGGAAAGAAAAGAAAATCAAACTTGTTGATTGAGGTAAGAACAGTTAAATAACTGAAACAAAGTAGAAGATAATAATAATAATGATATTAGTATGAGTAATTGTAATAAAAAGGAGAGGGACAGAGGGAGATAAATCCCAAGACAGGCAAGTGATGCACAATACAACTGTTCACCACGTGCTGACTAATGCCAAGCCTGTCCCTGAGCTGTAACTCACACCCTTTCCTGGTAACTCCCCCCATTTTATATACTGGGCATGATGTTTTATCACATAGAATGTCCCTTTGGCCACTTTGGTCAGTTGTCCTGACCATGCTCCTTCGCAGCTTCTTGTGTACCTCCTCACTAGCAGTGCAGGACATACTGAAAGTCCTTGACTTGGGGCAAGCACCACATAGCAACACCTAAAACATCAGTTATCAACATTATTTGCATACTGAATCCAAAACACAGCATGGTATCAGCCACCAGGAAGCAAACGAGCACTACCCCAGACTATTTAATTCATATGAAATATTCCTTCTTTTTCTAGCACTGAAATTTTTCTATTTTTTTCCCCCTAGCAGATTCATGTTTTGAATGGCTTCTCCCGTGTAAGTTTTTCGAATACCTAAGGTTAGAACTCTTCAACTCAGCCAAGTGTTTATCAGCAAACATATTTCATATGATATATATGCAATATATATTCATATGATATATATTGCTATACTGCAAAATTGTTGACCAACATATAGAAAGTGAAGCAAGGCTCTTGGCCATGAACTACTGACACATGACTCTGGTCTGCACATGGCTCCCTAGCTGTTAAGGGCAGCAGCCCCTGGCTGATGTTAGCAGCAGAAGAGCTGCTGGATAACCAGGACCCTTGAGCAGCGGCAGGCAATGAGGCAGCAGGGACTCCAGAGGCTGGCACTGACAGCTCATGCTGGGATCTGGGGGCATTCTTACCCAGGATCTGGTTTATAGAGGGGTGAGGGAATCCTTGAGCAATCACCATCATCTCCCATCTGTGAACCCCATCGGACACTCCCCCTCCCACCCTTGATTCACACTAAAGGGAGCGTGACTCACGACCATAATGGAAATTGCAGCACGCGGCTTGCAATTCAGGAAGGGAGTCAGCCCCAACAGCTAAAGAGGAGGCAGGGAGAAATAAGCATTCATGCATATTTAATATGCGTCTATACCTTAATCACCATTAATTTTAAAAGTCCAGTTCCAATAGCACTGCAGGACTGCCTTGAGGGCCCAGGTACCATATAAATAAATCAGTGAGTGATTTATTGTTGTAACAACAAATAAGATCAGGCTTCCACAGCAATTCCTTGACACATGAGCCTGAGCATTGGGCTGTTTTCCAATGTTTTTAATTCACGGTGTAAGTTATTAATTGTACAAATTGTAAGGCCCTTAACCAAGTGGTACATGTGTGAGAAATGCCAACTGTGGATTCTGCCAACTCTTCAGGACAGTGTTGCGGAAAAGTTTCTTAGTAAATTAAAGACCTGTTATATGAGCTACAAACCCATGAAGGGAAATGCACATAGTTCAGCCTCTAAGTCTGCCAAACTCACTGTATAATCATGAACAGCTCTGCCTGTATGCCTCAAAATCTCTCTCCTAAAACAGGGCTCCCGCTTGCTTCTGTTTCCTGTTTGTCTCTTAAGACTGTAAGTCTTCAAGGCAGGTGTTTTACTGTTTACTGTCAACTCCCAGTCATCTATGGGCAATTCATTCTGCTGGTTGATTAATCATGTCCTGGATACCTGGCTGATTCCTGGCAAATTTTATTGAACACCGCATTGCACAAACGCAGCTACACAAGCAGTCTCTGAACCGTGCTGCTCGGTGGGTCGTGTTGCACCCAGGGTTTTGCACTGCCCAGGTACAGGACCCACTGCTGTAATTGCTCCTGTGAGAGAGATCCATAAAGTTTTAACAGGAAGTTCCCTGGTGAATAAAAACTTTCTTACTATATGGGGGGCGTTCCTTCAGCTTTAAAAGCAGAAAGCGTTAATGTTTAACATCTGAGTGACAGTGGTTTTGAGCTTCTGATACTGAAAACAATGTACTGCATGCTGGCAAGCCCTAACTTCTGTCAGAAAGAGGTTAAAATCCTCTGCAGGTGAGCCTCTTGCCTGGTGTAGCTTGCTGCCTTGCAAGCAGAACTCACAGAACACAAGATGTTAGCCAAACCAAGCTATTTTCTGTAATTATACTGTTCTGTAGGTGAAACAACATTCTTAAAAATTGGAAAACACACTTGAATCAAAGTAGGTGGTTTGTTCTAGAGGCCGGTAATTAACATCCTTGCCAATTTTCAGTGTACTGTGAAGTGTGATTGAAATGGTAGACTGGAAGGAAATGTTTGCAGCTGACACACCTACTCAGAGAGATTAACGGCTAGTCTCTTTGGAGAACTATCATAAAAATACACCTAATGTTCCACTTGCTGTTCAGGACAAGAGTCAGAGGCCCTAGAGTCTTAAGACTATTATTTATGTCAGTTTTTCAGCAGAAAAAACTGCACTGATTTGACTGGGTTTGCATCTGGGTTTGTACCAATAAAAATATCAGCAGAATCAGGTTCTTTGGATTAAATAAAAAAAAAAAAACAAACAACAAACCCAAGAGCTACAAAAAGTGAAGGGAAGAAAAACAGACATTTTTTAGCCTCCTCAGTAACTTCCAGTGGAGTTGATACTAGGCAGCTTCAAGAGACCAACAAAAATCCAAGCACAAGAGTCTCTGTGCACAGCATGCAGCCATGCGACAAAATGACCCATTGTTCACAGGCCTGAAGGGTGGTAAACACAAATAAACGAGTCAAATATCCTCCCAAGGCAGAGATGTCTTCCTTCACTAGAAGAAGGAAAGCAAAACAGTGCTCATCACAACGTTAAATTGCTAACTAAAATAATGGCATCTGCTCTACAGTAAAGAATTTGGAAGACTCCTAAATGTATATTGAAATGCATCCATACTGCATATGGCAAAAATCCTGCATGAGCTCACCTCTAGTAATAACAATAGCTGCTTGAGAACTTTTTAACAAAATATTGTTCCTCTGGAAAATGTCAAGCTGTGGAAATCAGAACTTTTCACAGAAATTTATCTGTTTTGATTAAATTGTTTTGGAAGGTAGGGTAAAGAAGAGGCAAGAAGAAGAATTACATGCAGGTTCCTCTGGTGGTGGTTTCCCATAAAAAGGCCACTTTAGAGGTGAGCTTGGTCACCTTTTGGTATAGGTGTCACTCTCAGCAAAGCTCCTTTTTAACCCTGAAAGGGTATTATGATCTCTTGGATACTGTGAAAAATATTTCTGAAGATTTTGTTTTGTCCAGAAGTTTTTACACTTTCATATTTGGTTTAATGTGGATAGATCCTTTCTCATTCTCTGTCCCCCTATCCACCTTACTGCAAAGGAGAATTGTTGTTGCATTATTTTCCCATTTTTCATTTTAGCAGTTATTTGGTGAAAATTTAAATTTTCCAATTAAATATAAAATCTAATCGCTACCTATCAAACTTAAAATAGCTGGTCTCAACTAATGAAAATCTTGGTACTGATCTTTTGCTGTTGCTTTTGCCTCAAAACATTTAAAAGAACAATGTCATGTGTTTTCTTACCACAAAGTCTGGGAAAAATACAAGACATAAGCAAAGGAAAACAGAGGATAAAACTAGTTTTTATCTTTTCCTAATTCCTCTAGGGCAAACATGAGCACCCTCAACGCTAATCTAAATTGAAAGAGGTAAGAACACACAGCCTCCTATGCTGTCAGGTTCTCTCTGGAACCTCGCCTTTGTGTGAGAGATGGCTTTTGTAAGACTTTTCAATATCCAATAGAAAGGAAAAAAATCCAATTAACTTGACTAATAAAGTTTCATAGCTTTTAAAAAAACTGATTTATTTTCTCATGCATTTATACAGAACATTACATATATATATATATATATAAATATATATAAATAAGCATTTATTTTTCCTTTCAGAGATAGGCTAAATAAACAACCTTTTCTGTTGCCTCTCACTAAACAGGCTCTTCATTACCCTGATCAATTTAAATGCATCTCTCCTCAGTACTCTGTACTCATGCCAGTGGAAACCTCTTACCTGACACATTCTTGTACGCTTTTTGCTCCCAGTCACCCTCCAGCCTGTTCTGCACACTACACTGGTATTACCCAGTTGACAGTGGAAACTCTTATTCATCCTGAAAAGATAATACCTTACACTTGGCACTGAAATTCCACCCCACTGCTTTTGTTTTTCCAGTACTTGAGGCCATCCCAATCTTTCTGCAAGACAGCTTGAACATACTTTGTATTAATAATATCTCCATGCCTTATTAAAAACAATTCCCAGCTCTGTATCATCAAGCAATTTTTTTGGCACATTGCTGCTCTTCATGCCAAAGGTTCTCAATGACAGCATTAAAAAAAACTGGTTCAGCACCAGCTGGTAAGAAATTGGAGAGAAATTCCACTAGTGAAATCCTTGGACCTTAACATTTCTTCCTTCAAATCTGTTTGCTGCTGCCTTCCTGCTAACTAGTTCCTTATTGCCTTTGACTAATCCCTCATCTCCTTCATGGGTACATGACATTTTGCAGACAGACATGAGTTAAACGTGCCCATTCTTCCAAACAAGAGACGCTGGGTGAATCCAGCGAGCAGCAAGCAGCATTTCCCACATTAAGCTTGTGCCTGCTTGTAAAATAACAATATATGCATTCCCCGCTGTAATTAATAATTTTCCATATGGCAC